CCTGTTTTTCCCTAGAATAAAAAAATTTGTTCTTTTGATCTGCCTTCTATTTTATAGTGCATTCACTCTTATAGTGACCAGTGTTACCATAGTGTGTGCAAATCTTGTCCTTGGGGAGTTTTAGGTACTTGCTTTTAGGATCCCACTTAGGTGCATAGTTCCCAAAGACAAGTTCGCTTCTGCTGCTACTATGATGTTTTTGTAGCCATGAAAGCACATCAGAGGACCTGTTCCATTTACAAGTTCTGTCTAGCTCATTCTTGACCTTTTTCAGATCCTCCTTTAGGACTCTTACCTATTCATCCCTCGTATACAACTCATCTTTCATTTTTTCTACATTTTCTTCTAAAGTGAGTTGTATATGATCAGCTGTCTTTTTGCCTGTTCCTAATTTCAATTTTGGATTTTCAGATCTAAGTTCTAGGACTGTTATGTCAAGTGCATGAACCTGGTTCTTCAACACAGTATTTCTCTTTCAGTTTCACAAGCCCTAAGTTCCAGGATTTTGCACTTAGCTTTCAAAATCACACATTCTTTTGATAGTTTTCCTTTTCATTATTCACATCCTTAGATGCATCAATTAGCTCTAGTAGTAACTCAAATAACCTTTCTTTAGACAAAAATTTAATCTTGTCTTTGAGATAAAAAGCACTTACTTCAGTTTCTTCATCAGATTCTCCAATGGCCATAAGTGCTCGTTCATCATCATCATTATTTGAGCTTTCATCTGAGATTTCTCCCAAGCAGCGACCATACCCTTGGTTAATCCTTTGTTGTTTCTTTTCTTGGGTTGAATATGTTCCTTCTTCATGTTCCTTTGTTCAGCTCTTTCCTTTTTCCATTTAATTTCTCGCAAAGGACAGTTTTTGATCGTGTAATCAGTCTATCCACACTCGTAGCAGCCATCATTGGTTTGCTTCTTAGGAGCTTTTGCATTGCTGTAGCTTTCACTTCTTGAAGAACCCTTTCCTCTCCTTAGGTACTACTTGAACTCTTTGGTGATCATAGTCATTCCATCATCTTCCAGATCAGAACCTTCAGTAATTTTGAGTGCCAAGCTCCTTTCCTTCTTAGATACATCCGTTTTCATGGTTTGTCTCCTAAGTTCATAGGCAGTGAGATTCCCAGTCAATTCATCTAGAGGGAGAGTGGCAATATTCTTTGATTCCTGGATGGCAGTGATCTTCCTTTCCCAAGTGGTAGGCAAGACCCTAGTAAGTATCTTCTCAACTCTTTTTTCTTCAAGGATAATCCTTCCAAGAGATTTTAGTTCATTTTTCAAGGTTTTTAACCTTGTGTACATCTCCTGAATGGTTTCTCCATCCTTCATAACAAAGTTCACATATTGAGAGTACAGTAGAGTTCCTTTTGATCTCTTCACCAGAGTTGTTCCTTTATGGGCCACTTGTAGTGTGTCACAAATTTGTTAGTAGTGGAACAGGCTTGGATTCTTCTATACTCATCTGGACCAAATCCACAAACAAGACATTTCTTGGCTTTGGCATTCTTTATCCATTTCTTTAGATCCTTAGCATTGCAATCAGCTCTTGTCTTTGGCACATCTACTCCTTCACATTTTTCTTCAAAGTAGCCAGTAGACCACCAGTGACAATATCCCGTAGCTCATAGCCCTCTCCTTATATGTGATCTCCCATCCCGTTCTTCCACCTAGAGTAGTACTGGCATTAAAGAGTGGTGGCCTAGTAGTGGATTGCCTTTCCCGATTTTCAGGTGGTGCACTCATATTGATCTCCTATGGTGTTAGCCTCTTCTAGGATAACCCGCTCTGATACCAATTGATGTTTTATACTTCAATACCACACAAGAGGGGGATGATCTGTGTGGTATCGAGTTTTTCGCGTGCACGGATTATAGAAAGATATGGTTCTTCTATGTGTTCCTTATACTACTGTTGCGGAATAATAAATGCAGAAAGTAAAGACCACAAGTATTTTTACATGGAAAATACCTGGCTCAAAAGGTGAAAAACTATGGCATACTACCTAGTAGGATCTTTTCCAACACTTCACTAAATCACTGAGCCAAAAATAGCGTTTGCAAAATGCTTGTAAACCTAAGGATTATCTCTAACCCTTTGCGGCAACCAGCCTCGGACTGTTGCGAAAATTTCAAGTTAACTCTAACTTGAACAGTACACTCAAAGTACCTAGTACAAATGCTTCTAAAGAAAGCTGAAAGGTACAACTCAAAAGTCCTACTACAATTTAACTAGAATAAAAAAACAAACACTTGGAACTAGTTTTTCTATCTGGTTCATGTAGCTTCAGGTTCGCACATTTGAATCACACAAGAATTGCTTGCAAAATACCTAGCTATTTTGCTCTCAACTCACGTTTAACTTGGCATTTTCTCCCCAAAATCACTCATCACTAAGCACCTGACCCCGCTGGCGGCTGGACTGGTGCAAATTCCTAAGGGCATTATTTACAAGCTTCCAGCGATATTATTTCCCGGCAGCTCCAGGAAACCCTAATAATGGCTTCTCCTCTACCACCACCAAGCTCCGCCGCTTCCGGTGGCTTCCAAAACCCTAACAAGTTGTTAAGCTCCTTTACAAATGCAATGTAGAGAAACGACAGTTTCATACAGTTCTTCTCTATGACTGAAATCCTTTTATTGAGCGTTCGATCACTCGGGAAAAAGTATCGGATACATGATCTCATGGAGGATAATGTTGCGCTGGAGGAAGAACAACAAGGACTTGTTCAGCAAATGAATCATATCAGGCAAAGCTTACATGTTGAAGCTGCTCTTAACCCCACTGGCCGCTTTGCTTCACGCCTTCACCTCCTTTTTGGCGAAGATAGTTAAAGAATATGAGTGTGTTGTTCTAGGTAAGTGTTATTTCCTTACACTTTTGGTTCAGTGTTTATAAATTTAGTAATGGAATATAAGAGCTTCAGAGAAAGCATCAATGGCGGAAGTTGTGAGGGAAGGTTCTAGAGAATTTCTGTTTGAGTGGAGAAAAGATGAATTCAATTACTGAAGCTAGCTATTACAATGTACTGATAATACCTATATATACACTCCAATTGGCTGCATTCAATCTACCGACCTTTTCACCCCTAAACTACCCAATCCTATAATTAGTTATAACTAACTAATGTCATTTAAGCTGCTTAAGTACCCTCATGTGATAGGTACGTGACTATCCCTCTCTGTAACACTCCCCCTCAAGCTAGATGGTGCAAACAAGTTCAGCACCCCTAGCTTGCTCATCAGGTAATCATGTTGCGATCTTCCTAGTGCCTTTGTGAACAGATCAGCCTCCTGCTCTCTAGACATCACATGTCTTGTTTTAACAATTCCTTGTTGAATTTTTTCTCTGATGAAATGCAAGTCTATTTCTATATGCTTCGTCCGTTCGTGGGATATAGGATTTGTAGCAATCTGGATTGCTGCCTTGCTATCACAAAACAACTCCACTGGCAGTTCAACTTCTGTACCCAATTCCTTGCATAATCCTGTCAACCATAGGATCTCTGAGACTGCAGCAGCCATGCTTCTGTATTCAGCTTCTGCTGAACTTCTTGATATCATGTACTGTTTCTTTGACTTCCAAGACACCAAGGAATCTCCTAGCTTCATCACGTACCCTGTCACAGATTTTCTAGACACTGGACATGAAGCCCAATCAGCATCACAAAAGGTTGTGAGTTTTGGGCAAGGCTTTGAGCTCATCAGTAGACCAAGACCTGGTGCTCCCTTTATGTATCTAACTACCCTTATTGCTGCTTCCATATGAGACTTCTTTGGGAAATGCATAAATTGGCTCAACACATGCACTGCATAGCAAATGTCTGGCCTTGTCATAGTGAGATACAGTAGCTTCCCAACCAACCTTTGGTATGGCCCTGCATCTGGTAGCTTCTCATCATCTTTCAGCTCTAAGTGTTGGTCATATTCTGCTGTTGTAAACCTTTGATTGCATTCCATTGGAGTGGCTACTGGCTTTGATCCTGCCATTCCAAGATCAGTGATGAACTCCATTGCAAATTTTCGTTGATTCATCAATATTCCTTCCCTTGATCTTGTTATCTCGATTCCCAGAAAGAATTTCATTTCCCCCAAATCTTTGATCTTAAAATTGCTTTGCAAAACAGACTTTGCTTCTGAAATTAAGCATTGATCATTCCCAGTTATGAGAAGATCATCTACATATACAAGAATGAGTACTAGACTGGTTCCTTGCCTTTTTGTGAACAAGGAATAGTCAAATCGACTCTGCACAAATCCTGAATTGATTAAGGCTTCAGACAACTTCAAATTCCACTGCCTAGAAGCCTGCTTCAATCCATAAAGGGATTTATGCAGCCTGCATACTTTCTCCCCCTGGCTGTGAAATCCCTGAGGCAAACACATGTATACTTCTTTAGTAAGATCACCTTGAAGAAAAGCATTGTACACGTCCATCTGATACAAATTCCAATTATGTGAAGCTGCTAGAGCAAGAACAACTCTAACTGTCAGCATCTTGGCCACAGGGGAAAAGGTCTCCTGATAGTCTAGCCCTTCAATTTGATTGTACCCTTTAGCAAATAAACGAGCCTTGTATCTTTCAACTTCCCCATCTGCTCTGTATTTAATTTTGAATACCCATTTACAACCAATGGGAACTTTTCCTGTTGGTAAATCTACCAAGAACCAAGTTCCATTCTCTTTGAGGGCAGTCAATTCTTGGTTCATAGCATCCACCCATGGAGGATCTCCTGCAGCCTCTTCATAGCTGTTGGGTTCCTTCAGGCTAGTAATTTTGGAAAGATAGGCCTTGTATTTTGCTGAAACTCCATCATGATTCAGAACATCTTGCATTGGATACTTGCAAACAGGCAGTGAATTTGAGTTTGTCAGTGACTGTTGCATACATAGTCCTGCATCCATGTAGGTTCTTTCATAGTTCTACTAGATTTCCTAAGCTGGTTATTAAAGTATGATGAGGAAGTTGCTTTTGAAAATGGTACTCCTAGCTGGTATGGTTGTTATGGGGCTTCAAAGCCTGGTGATGGTGAGTCTGCATCATGTACTGGATCATGTGGTACTGGCTCATGTGGTACTTCATCTGTGGAAGAAGGGGTGGTTGCCGCATGTGGTGGATCTGCAACTGTAGATGGAAGTGTTGTGTCATTGCTAGGAACTGGTGTTATGACACCATTGGGAAAGACCTGCAATTTCCCTTCCTTTAAAAGCTGGAAAGGGAAGATGTTTTCCATGAATTTGACATCCCTGCTGACAAAAAAGGAGTTAGTCAAGAGATTATAAAGTTTGTATCCTTTCTGAGATGAAGAATAGCCCATATGGACAGCTCCAATAGCCCTTGCTCCAAGTTTATCTCCCCCTACTAGAACTTTGGCAAAGCATAGACGGCCTATGACTCTCAGATGTTGTAAGGAAGGTGCTCTTCCATACATCAACTGAAAAGAGGACTTCCCTGAAAGCACTGACAGGGGAATTCTGTTGATGATATAGACTGTTGCATGTATACATTCTCCCCAAAATTTAAGAGGCAAATGACCTTGCAATCTAATTGCCCTAGCCACCTCTAGTATGTGTCTATGTTTTCTTTCCACTACCCCATTCTGCTGTGGGGTATGAACACAAGAACTCAGATAAATCATTCCATACGATTGAAATAAATTGCTGCATTCAGAGTTAAAGAATTCAGTCCCATTGTCACTTCTCAAGATTTTCATTGTTGCTCCAAACTGAGTTTTTATTAAGGCAAAAAACTATTTCAAACATACAAGCACATCACTTTTAAGTCTCAACAGGTAAACCCATATCATTCTAGTGTAATCATCTACTATAGTGAGAAAAGATTTGTATCCATTGTGGCTTGCTACTCTATATGGACCCCACACATCCACATGAATCAGCTCAAATGGTTTATTTGATCTATTTGTACTCTTTGGAAATGGTAATCTTCCTTATCTAGCTAGTGGACAGATTGTGCAGTCTTTTATTTTTTCATTGTTTGCTTTGAACTTCATGTTTGGGATTTGCTTCATCACTTTGTCAGGGACATGGCCAAGTCTCCCATGCCAAATCCCTAAGTCCTCTTCTACTCTGAAATGACCATGTGATCTCACAGCTGCAGCTGCAGCTTTGTCCTGCTTGTGCTGCAAATTATACAATCCTTCAAGCTCTTTACCAATCAATTTCACTTTCCCATTGTGAAGGTCCTGCATGATCCAGAAGTCAGGATAAAAGGATAAAAAACAGTGTAAGTCCCTTGTAAGTTTAGAGACTGACAACAAATTGTATTTAAAATCTGGAATGTATAGTACATTCCTGATAACACCACATTCACCAATCCTACTTTCTCCTGTGCAAACAACATCTAGTGAGGTACCATCAGGCAAGTGAACCTTAGACTGTGATTTTAGGCTTTTAGTATTGATCTTATCAAGTAATTTTTTGGTGTGAACCATGTGATTGGTTGCACCAGAATCTACTATCCAGTTTTCATCTTTTGTTTTGTCAGCTAATGTAGTGGCCTTGGTTGTACCTGCAAAATGCTGTGAATTGTCACTTGTGTCTTTGTTGAGCAATTTTAAAATTTGATCATATTGTTCCTGAGTAAACATGACTGGCTGAGGCAATGTAGGTGTTGTAAGTCCAACTGGTGAGTTCTGCATTTGCTGCCCTTCCTGAGATACTGCATTTGCAATTGCCTTTCCCATATGCTGAGGCTGCTGCCCTTCCCTTATGGTATTATTGACCATTGGTCTTTGTGGAAAATTATTGGCTTTTCTTCTCATCTTGAAATCACTTGGATAGCCATGTATCTTGTAACATGTTTCTCTTGTATGACCCTTATAGTTACAGTAGTCACAGAACAGATTGCTTCTTCTAGGCTTATAAGCATTTCCGGTAATCATGCCTCCTTTGTTAGTGAATAATGCTGTACTATCTCCCATGTCCAATGTCTGTGTAGGTTTCCCCATTTTTCTTTGACTTTCTTCAGATACAGCCATAAAATAGGCCTTGTTGACAGAAGGGATTGGACTCATCATCAAAATTTGACTCCTAGCTTGTGCATATGTCTCATTCAGTCCCATCAAAAACTGTAGCAACTTTTGGTATTCAAAATGCTCAGAGTAGCTCTTAGATTCTGGACAATCACACCCAGGACATGGCATCAAGGCATCATATTCTTCCCACAAATCTGTCAATCGTGAGAAATAGGTTGACACACTGGATATTCCTTGTGACAGAGTTGCAATTTCCTTATGCAGAAAAAAAATCCGAGATCCATCGACTTTATCATATTTATCCTTCAGATCTGTCCACACTTTGTGCGCACTTGACTTGTACACAATACCACTAAGTAATTCCTTGCTTACAGCATTCATGATCCAAGATAAAACTATTGCATTACATTTTTCCCAAAGTTCATGTAATGATCGATCGAATTTATCCTTAGTGCATCGTCCATCAACAAAACCTAATTTGCTCTTACCTGTCAATCCTATTTTCATAAATCTACTACATATTGCATAGTTCTCACTTCCAGTTAGCTGAATTGAAATCAATGAACTACCTGGAGTGTCACTCGGTTGTAGAAACAGAGGATGATGATGATCGATAATTGCAGCGGCTGTGTTTGTGCACGTTCCAGCTGGAATTTCATCTCCAATCGCCATGTCTATCAACCTTAGTTGCACTGATTTTTGCTTTCACAAACAAAAGGAATTTTCAGTCGCTAATTGCGAAGAAAAAATGCGTGCCCTAGCTGAATCGATTGGAAAAGGAAATCACAATCGACCTACGACAGAAAAAATTGCCGGAGAAAAATGAGGAGTAACAATTGCAGTGAGCGTGGATCTATCGTTCCTGCTCTGATACCATAATGGAATATGAGAGCTTCAGAGAAAGCATCAATGGCGGAAGTTGTGAGGGAAGGTTCTAGAGAATTTCTGTTTGAGTGGAGAAAAGATGAATTCAATTACTGAAGCTAGCTATTACAATGTACTGATAATACATATATATACACTCCAATTGGCTGCATCCAATCTACCGACCTTTTCACCCCTAAACTACCCAATCCTATAATTAGTTATAACTAACTAATGTCATTTAAGCTGCTTAAGTACCCTCACGTGATAGGCACGTGACTATCCCTCTCTTTAACATTTAGTGACCAAGGAATTTGGGATTTTTTTTAGACGTGATCTTTTTGAAATGAAATGGGCCCGAATAAGGCGGAATGGATATAGAGCCCGTTTGGCATAGCTGATTTTAAGCATTAGATGCTGAAAATAATTTTAAGTGTTAAAACTGATTTAATAAGTTGTTACATGTTTGGATAAAAGTGTTGAAACTGATAATAAGTAGTTGAATATAAAATTATTTTTTAAGAAAATAATTGAACCTTCCTATGCTAAAGGAAAAGAAATGGAAGAAAAGAAAACCAGTGTTTCAATACTTTATTGGTTTATGCTATACCAGATTCCTTAGACTCCGTGGATTGTATAAAGATGATGTTTTGGATGTTTCGGTATATAAATAGTACCATTGTAAATCAGGATTTTCATGGAGATAAGTGAAATCGTGAGTCCATTAATCAAATGGTCACTCAACTATTTCAAATTATGTCCTAAAGTCACTGTACTTTCGTTTGTAACAACAAAGTCACTAAACTATGCCTATTGAACTCAGAAGGTCACTGAACTAGATTTATTAAATTTTTGATTTGCCAAATACCTATTTTACCCTCTAAATTATAAATATTTATTTTCTTTTTATTTTTTTAAAACTTTTTAATATTATAATTTTCCCTTTTTAATTTATATTGTGGACTTACCTATAGAATAAATAAATATTATTTATAAATTAAAAAAAGTATTTAAGCATATATAATGTTGGACTAACAAAATAATGAGCATAGTAAAAAAAATTAATTAGAATAATTTGTTAGTAATAGTAATTTTAGTATTAACAACAAAAATTCAAAATTTATTGACACAATTCAGAATGAAAGAAAATAAAGGTTGTAAAATAGCACGTAATATAAAAATAATTATTTAAATAAAGGTATTTTTATAATATACATTATATATTCTTGAAAATTAAACTCAATTATATTATTATGTTTTTCTACCAACTTTCCGACGACACAAAGTTATATCACCGAAAAGCAGGGGGACTATCTGTACAGGGTAAAATATGTTATGTTAAGTCGTGCATGGAATATATATAATATCATTCAAGAATATATAATGTATATTATAAAAATGCTTTTATTTAAATAATTATTTTTATATTAGGTGCATGGAATATATATTTTATAACCTTTATTTTCTTTCATTCTGAGTTGTGTAAATAGATTTTTGATTATTTTTTTTTTGTTAATACTGAAATTATTATTATGAATAACTTATTCCAATTAATTCTTTTACTATGCTCATTATTTTGTTATTCGAGCATTATAGATGCTTAAATACTTTTTATTTTTTAATTTATAAATAATATTTTTTTATTCTATAGGTAAGTTCATAATATAAATTAAAAAGTTAAAAAAAAGGTAGATAAATATTTATAATTTAGAGGGTAAAATAGGTATTTGGCAATCCAAAATTTGGAAAATCTAGTTGAGTGACCTTCTGAGTGCAATAGGCATAGTTTAGTGACTTTGTTGTTACAAACGAAAGTAAAGTGACTTTAGGAGATAATTTGAGATAATTGAGTGACCATTTGAGTAATTGACTCGTGAAATCGTACAAGACTTTGTTTTTTGAATTTTATTTTTAGGAAATTTACAAGTGTATTGAGCAAAGTAACTATAAGAATGAAATCAGAAAGTAAAAAACTCTATTAGGTGGAACATGTGTACAATTCCAGCACTTCTAAAAGGATAAATAAGTTTCAATTCATCTGGGCAACCTTGCCCAGCTGATCATGTTTCAATTACAAATGTCTTTTCCTTGATACACTTATAATCCAGTTTCATTTTGGTGGCTGTCTTAGATGTTTGTGTTGTTTTTAAGTCTCCATCATTAGATACGAGCTCCTCAGGGTTGCTGGTTAAGTTTTGTTAGAAGATTGTTCCTTTTGTTAGCTTTTGTTGATTTCAGATTCAAAAGGTCTATTTATGGGTAATGGTTATTCCAGATTGTGTCAAATTGGCTAAGTGTAGGTCTACACGCTGTTCATCATTCTGTTTGGTTTAGACATGCTGATGCTTTTGATTTTCTTTGACTCTAATCCTTCATCAAAGTTTCGGATTAGGAGGAAAATAGATAAGATGCTTGTGTGAAAGATTCCTTTGAGACAATTGTTTATGAGGCTTCCTGTAATTTTATGCTGACCATATGCAGTTGAAAAAGGCATGATTTTAGTGATAATTTTTCCTATAAGGCTAATTGGTGGACTTGATTCAAAATTATTTTTTTTGACGAAATTTTAACTTTTATTCCATCAAAAAGTCATTACAAAATTAGATAACGCTGGCCGTTAATCTCTCATATCAACTATAATTAAAAAAACAAGTATATCTATACTAATTCATTTCTACTTCTATACTACGGCATTTTATTCACAATTGCCAATCCTTGACTCCATTTGATCTTCTTCCGTCCTTGAATATGTATATGCATTGCAATTTTCTTGCACACTCTATCAGCATCATATCTTCCTTTCTCAAATCTGATCATATTTCGTTCTCTCCATATGCAGTAGACAACCATTGCAAAGACTGTCATGGTCATTTCTGCAACACAATCTTTCTTCTTTGCCACACTACTTATCCAGCTCACTTCCTGTTCCCAGTTTTGAATCTGCCTTCTGTATCCTAACCAATTGAGCATTCTTTCCCACTATGTTCTTGTATACTGATATTTAAAAAACAGATGCTCAAAGTTTTCCTCATGCTGTCCACAGAACACATATTCTGCCTGCACTTGTAATCCAAACTTTGCAAGTCTGTCGACTGTTGCTAGTCTCTGATTGATGGCTAACCATAGGTGGAATTTAAACCTTGGATGAACTTGTGAATGAATATGAATACTCTTCCATTCCACTTTACTGAATTGAGGTTGAAGTTGCACATATGCCTTGTTGATCTGGAACTTGCCTTGTTTCTCAAACTCTCTCAGAATTGATGCAATGTCTGTTTGGTTTGTCCTCATCTTCAGTAAATCTTCCTTCATTTCAATGATCTTCCTCACCACCCATGCTGCATTTTTTGGTGTACCTATGTCTTCAATTCTTCTATTTTTTATGTAGTATATGTGAGCCCATCTAGTTCATAGTGTATCCTTCTTCATAACCAACGCCCATAAGTTTTTCATCACTGCAGCTTTATTCCAGGTTCTCATGTTGATCACATTCAATCCCCCTGTACTTTTAGGTTGGTAAATTTTGTCCCATGCTATAAGGGCTTTCCGAGATATTTCAGTTGATCCAGTCCACAGGAAAGTCCTGCAGATAGCCTCCACCATTTTCATGATCTTCTTTGGAATCAAGAATATTTGAGCCCAGTATATTTGCACACCAAATAGCGCTGATTTGATCAGTTGTAGTCTTCCAGCATATGATAACATCCTAGCAGACCAGCATCTCACTCTATCAGTGATCTTCTCAACCAAAGGTAGACATTGGTTGATATTCAGCTTCCTGGTCGACAATGGCACTCCCAAATATTTAAAAGGCAGGCTGCCCTTTGTATATCCAGTAAGTTGCATAAACTCTTCTTGAACTTGTTGATTAATCGCAGCCATATATATTGAGCTTTTCTCCACACTTGCTTGCAATCCTGATGCTTTTGAGAACTTGTCAAAAACATTTTGTATTGCTTGAATAGATTTTGTGTCTCCCCTGTAAAACATTAAGAGATCGTCAGCAAAACATATATGTGTTACTCCCAGTTTCTTGCATTTAGGATGGTATTTGAACTCCTTCTGCTTTTTCAAAGTATTCATCTCCCTCTGCAAGTACTCCATTGCAATTACAAATAGGTAAGGAGACATAGGGTCTCCTTGCCTTATCCCTCTCTTAGCAGGAAAAGGTTTTGTGAGTCCACCATTGAGTGTCAATGAATATGACACTGTTGTCACACACTCCATAATCCAGCCAATGCACTTGTAAGGAAATCCTAGCTCTGTAAGCATCTGCTTTAAAAACTGCCAGTCAAGTGAGTCATATGCTTTCTTGAGGTCAACTTTGAGGATGCACCTTGGTGATACTCCTTTCCTGTTGTACCCATTGAATAGTTCATGACTAAATAGCACATTATCCACTATGTTCCTCCCCTCTATAAATGGTGATTGTACTTTCCCAATGAGACTGTCAATCACCTTCTTTATCCTTTTTGTAAGAATCTTTGCAATAACATTATACACTGTAGTACAACAAGTTATTGTCCTATAGTCCTTCACTGTTGTGGGAGTTAAACCTTTGGGAATCAATGTTATTGCAGTGCAATTCCAAGCTTTCTGCATTTTACTTGTTCTGAAGAAGTAGTCCACTGCCTCATATACATCATTCCTGACTTCTTGCCAATGTAGCTTAAAAAATTCAACTGGAAATCCATCCACTCCTGGTGCTTTGTCATTTGGCATATCCTTGATTGCTTCATCTATTTCCTCATGTGTTACTTCCTTGATTAACTCCACCTGTTGGTTCATTGACAAACACACTCCTTCTT